GCTGATACTGTGATACATGCAACTATTACAGACACTTGGTGGGTACCACCCAAAGGGTTACTCCAATGATATGATTGTACCGTTGTAGTGTGTTGTTAGGAGGCTATGGGGGGAGGGTTGTTTGAGTGCTTCATCTTGGGGTGGTCTGACGAGTTTGTTTGTTTGTGGGTTGTGTGTGGTGTGTGGTCCGATGATCTCGGGTCGTGTCTCTTGTACTCACCATAGGTGGGGTAGAGGAGTTAGGTTGGGTAGGGGTCTTAAGTTTAGGCTTGGTAGGAATTTATGAAGAGATTGTGGGCTTGTTTGTGTGCGCTGTCTCGTTCGTATGCACTGCTCTGCTGGTGTGTCATGGGTGTGTGTTACATGCTGTGGGCCACTTTCAGGCCTGTGACGTTTCCAGGCCGAAAGCCTGAAAACAAGGGCCCTACAGGCCCCGTGTCGTTTCAGCCTAAATCAGGGCCTTTCCGGCCCTGAGTCTTTTCAGCCTTAAACTGAGGGCCATTTTCAGGTCCTCATGAGTTCGACCTGCCCTGAAACTCAGGCACCAAACCAGGGTTCTAGCACAGACCATTCTGGGCCTGTTTTCAGGACAACCCCTGGTTGAGCTTCGAAGCCAGGGTATGGCACGTTTTGGCATTGGCAAGAGCAGCCTCCTGGACGGGCCAGCACTATATAGGACTGGCCCGCCCTGCAGGCTAAAGGCAGTTGCGAGGTAGTTCCTAGGCTAGGTACTTCCCAGGCACTTCACGTGCAGTTCAGGAGGCAGGAGGTAGTCTTTAGGATTCGGCCGCAGCACTCTGGAGGAGCGCTGCAGTAGTAGTAGTAGTGCTAGCAGTAGTCTTCAGCTCTGGGCGCTAGTAGCGTTAGCAGTAGTCTTCAGCGCTGGGCGCTAGTAGGAGCTAGAGTAGTACTGGAGAGAGAGAGATTGGGCGGAGGCGAGGGAGACTTACCTGCCGCGCCATAGCTCCAGCTCCGTCTTCGAGGTACCTGCAGCACAGCGCCAACATCACAGGTTAGTACCTGGGACATGGGAGAGAGAGAGTTCTTCTTCTTCCTCTTCTCAGTCCACCATCTCCCTCTCACCCTCTGGCTACCTGACTTCACTGCATCAGCAGACTATGAGAGAGTGGGCTTGGTGACATTCGGATCCAGACTCGACATTGGGCTTCAGACATTTTGATGTTGGGCCAGACTCGACATTGGGCTTCAGACATTTTGACGAGGGATTATTTGGGACTTGTAACAAAGACTTGGCGTTGACGACATTCCCATCTCTCCCCCTCTTCTTCGGCTGTTCCCCTCCTCTTCGTATGTGCATGATCTGGACCTGGCACATTCTTCCTGTGTGTAGCGCCAGGCCCCTTCACACCTTGTGATGAGGATGATGTATGTTTGGTCTGCGTTGCAACATTGATTGGGTAGGTCCTTGGTATTCTAGCATTCTGCTGCGCTGTCTTGCACTACATGCTAGAGGTCAGTCCCGGTCAGGTCAGGACTTGTATCTAAGTCTTCCCCTGCGCTATAAAGGGCCATGTTTGTATGTATCAGGATGTACACTGCTTGTTGAGATTTCACTTGCACTGCATTGTCCATTCCGTCCTTTTTGTCACATTGCGGATCCTCGGTTATTTATGTACATCGCCCAACTGGGCATGTAACAGTTGGTATCGGAACACCGCACGTGAATCAGGACAACCTGATCTGACACGTGTGCGGGGACTAAGTAGCTGATTAGTCTTGAGTGATTGATTAGAGCACACTAGTTAGCCCCCAAAATCACGATTTTGACCTCACTGCCGAAAATCGATTTTTTTTTTCTTTTCTTGGATTTTGTTTTCCCGCTATTTCTGTTGTGAAAAGTCGCAATAGCGCAACACCTGAGATTTCCGTTTTCGCTTTTCTTCTGAAAATCCGAAATTTCGTTGTGTGAAATCCGGAATATTTTTTCCTCGAAAATTTTGATTTCCTTTTACAACTTCCTGTTATTTAGAAATCTGGAATATTTTTTTCCGAAATTCGTTTTTTAAAAACGGCATGGGACATACCTCTTGCAGTTAGCATTTTCCAAACTGCGCGTACTCTCATCTGAGTAATTCCAAATATTTGTTTGTAGTTTCTTTTCGGAATTCTTATCGGACACTCATCTGCAGTCTGAAGGTTCAAATTTTTTTCTCATTCATAATTTCGCACTTCAGGGAGAATTGGGAGGCCTACTGAACTTGCAAATGAGTAGTTTTTTCTTTTTTTTCTTGAAATTTTTGCAAAGTTCAAACTTTTCTTTTTTTGATTAGTGGCTCCTTATCTGGGCGATTTATCCCACCCACCCCTCCCCACCCACGTTGTTGCCCCCTCTGGTCTTACCTTCTCTATCGTCAGCGGCGGCATTGGTAAGTTGCCACATCAGCAGAACACGTCAGCATGCCACATCAGCAGACCACGGCAGCAGGCCACGTCAGCGGGCCACATCAGCAGACCACGTCAGCAGGCCATGTCAGCAGACCACATCAGCAGGACACGTCAGCTGACAGCAGTGCCACGTCAGCAGCAGGGAGTACAACGTCAGCAGGCCCCCGGCCTGGTCTATGCTTCATGGACGAGAAGTCTGGGGAAACGGATGAGGCCTATCAGGCCCGGATGCTGCTTCTGATTACCGAAGCCAAGCAATGGTCGGATGCAGTAGCAGCCGCAGCAAACAAGAATGCAGAGGACGCCGATAAGGCACGTCTGTTGGCAATTGAACAGCAGCGCCAGCAAGACGAGGCAGTAGCAAAGGCTGCCGATGAAGAACGAATTCAACAACACGAGAAGATATTCAGCGGAGAGCGAGCCTTGCTCACAATTGCAGCGGACTGGCGGGCCAAGGCCGAGACTGGTAAGATGGAAGAGAGTGAAAACAAGATTGCTCTACTCCTTTCCCATCTCATGGACCTCCTGGCAACATGCATTACACAGCAGGAGGACATCCACAACCTCGACGACGTGTTCTCTCAAGTCCACAGCCGCCTCCACCAGCTGGAGCAGCGCCCCGTCGCCGCCCCGATGCCAACTCTTCCAACACCTCCGATCGCCTCGAGGCTTTGGAGATTGACGTCGGATCCCTCAAGGATGGCGTGCAGTTACAACAAACTGCAACACAATAGTTGGAGCAGCGGATCTGTACTGCCGCCACCCACTCGACCTCGGAGCCGCGAGAGACGACTCCAAGGTTCGATGATCATGAGATCTTCTGCGACTCGACGAAGACGAACCCGACTCCATGGTTCCGCAACTTCGAGCTCAAGTTGCAGCTCCACCACGTCAGCGAACACAAGCACCACGCGTACTTATACTCCCGGTCGGGGGGCGCGTGCCAAGCATGGTTGGAAAATCTCTTGTCCAAGTACGAAGTGGTGGCTGCTTCCTTGCACACCAAGATCAGCTAGGATTATCTAAAGGCGGCGTGGCATAAGCGGTTCCAAGTAGATTCGTCGGAGATCAAGGCCATGGACAAGCTGATGACCTTTGGATAAGGCATGCTGCCGAGTGTTGACTGGATTGCTGATTACCAACGCTTGACATCCGTCCCAGACATTCAAATGGGCTTCAAGGCCATCAAACACTACTTCATCTCGAGGTCGTGTCCGGCGTTGGGCAATGCCTTGACTCATGTCGAGGACACCCTGACGACACAAGTGGAGCTCTTCGATAAGGCCGCGTAGATTATTGTCACGAACAAGGAGGCTAAGAACCTCCACCTTTCATCTGCGACAGGCCCGAGCAGAGATCAACATCGACCAAAAGTGGTCGTGGTCGAGGCGGCAACGCCAAATGCCAAACTAGCGAGGACGTGTCTTCCAATGAAGGGGACAGACTCGCAGCCGCCCGGGATGGTGGCCGCCCCGACAAAGACCGAGGACGCGGCAAGGCGAAGACAAACACCGCATCTAGCCTGTGCCCGACGCAACAGCTCCAGCCTCATGGTCCAACTACGGTCTCTCTGAGCAAGCATACAAGACACGCACGAGATTCCACTATTGTCTGTGGTGCAACAATGATCTCCACGAGACAGTGGGCTGCTCGTCGAAAGGCAAGGGCAAATCGGGAAACTAAGCACCGCCGAGATTGACTCGACGATACTCTCGACGCCTTCGGAACCGGTCACTTCGCGGGTGACTGCCCTTCGTTTCGAGGCACATGCGGAAGTCGATAGTCCTCCTCTTCTATTTTCTTATGAGGACTACGCTGCTCGGCTCGTTCCTACGCTGGGTACTCATGCTCAAGGACAAGACGTGTGTGCGGTATCTTCTCCGTTCTGCAGTGGCGACCTATCGTCTTCAAGTGGTTCTTCACGGGATTCGGTGCGCGAGCTCAACATAGAGGTATTGGACCCGCTTACGTCTACGGATTTCACATGGCTTCCTCTCCCAACCACGGGCCGCTTGCTGGACCACAATGCGCAACATTATGCGCTCATCTTCACACGTATCTATCCTTTTATGCACCACCAACTTCGCTGACAGATGACGAAGCTGTGGTGGGGGACATCCTTGCGTATGTACCAAGGTGGCCCGCGAGTTTCACAAGCAGCGGTACGACGACAACAACGCACTTCTCCTCTATGTCCGTATCAAAGTTGGGCAAGCGCCCTGCAGCGCTTTGCTGGATAGCGGCGCGTCTCGCAAATTCATGAGTCAAACCTTTATGCAAATGGTTGGCTTTGACACAAAAGTTTAAAGGAAGACAAACCCGACAGCAATCAAGTTGGCAGACAAAAGGACGCAACAACTTATCGACCGCTACATTGAGGCCGTACCGGTGTATTTCCCACCTCATGCATGCGAACCGGTGACTTTCGACATTTTACTCACGGAATTCGATATTATTTTGGGAATGTCTTGGCTTGCAAGTGCAGATCACACGGTCAACTTCCACCGGCGGACTTTTACCATTCGTGACGCTTTCAGCGCCGAAGTGTCGTGTACTATTCCTCTTCCGCACCCTTCGATCCGATGTCACGTGGTGGCGGCCAAGTCATTCTGGGATACTTGTGCTTACGAGCAGCCCGACGAAAATTGGCCTATGTTTCCTACGGACCGTTGCGGTAGCCGACTCTTCACCCACGGATTTGTCTTCGGACCTTAGTGTGGTACGGTTGCTTGACGAGTTCGCCGACACCTTCGAGTCACCTACCGGTGTGGTGCCAGATTGGTCGATCTCTCACGAGATCATTCTTGAGGTCGGTGCCATACCGCCAAAAGGTTGCATTTACCGCATGAGCGAGGAGAAGCTTACGGTCCTCCACGCGCAACTCGATGACTTGATGCACAAGGGTTCGATCCGCCCTAGTAGCTTCCATATGGAGCACCTGTTTTCTTCCTACGGAAGAAGAACGAGGATCCACAATTGTGCATCGACTTCACGAGCGATTTTCGTGGCCCGACCTTCTCGGCGACGTCACACGCTATTGCGAGTCATGCGAGGTTTGCCGACACTGCAAATCCCGCAACCATCGTCCGTACAGCGAGTTGCGTCCATTACCGGTCCCCTTGCGCCGAAGGGAAGCGATTGCCATGGACATTACCGGGCCGTTCCCCACGCACAAGACCGGTGTGGATGAAATTCTCACAGTGGTCGACCGACTCACAAAGCTCGCCTTGTTTTGCCTTGCCGCTATCATGTAAAGGCACCGGAGTTGACCGAAGTTCTTTACGCCGGTTGGATTCGAACCAAGGGTTACTCCAAGGAAATCGTCTAGGACCGCGACACTCGGTTCATGCCCGATTTTTGGTTGGCACTCATCAAGCGATGGGGCTCAGCTCTCAAGTCAAGTTCGGCTCGCCACTTTCAAATCGATGGCCGAATGGAGGGGGCGCATCAGATCGCACAGGTTCTCCTTCGCACTCTCATTCGTCCCGACCAAAAGGATTGGGTTAAGCGGCTGTCGGATGTCGAGTTGGCATACGACTCGTCCATCCACCCGGCTATCGGGATGTCGCCCTTCGAGTTTGAGCACGGCTCGCCGGTTAGTTCTCCGTTAGACACAATCATTCCACGAACGACTGAGAGTGACGACCATCTTTTTTTCTTGCGTCGGATGCAAGAGCTACTTGTCAAGGCACGCGACCAGATGACTAAGACGCAGCAACGCATGAGCCAACAGGCCAATCGGCAGCGTCTTCCTTGCCCATTCCGTGTCGGTGACCTCGTTTGAGTTTCGGTCGCGGAATTCAGCCTTAAACAAAATATCTCTCGTAAGCTCCTCCCAAAATGGATGGGGCCCTAGTCGATCGTGGCACCCGTTGGGGATGCACCCGAAGGACCTTCCTTCACCACTCAGATGCCCACCCACTTGCCCATCTACCCGGCCTTTCATTGCTTCAAGTTGGCTCTCTACACGTCGGCGGAACATGACGATTTTCCAGGACGACGATTGCAAGACCTACCCTCTATGGACGATTTTCAGGAGGTCAGCGGCATCATCTCCCAGCGACGCTACGGCAACAGGCCAACCGAGTACTTGGTACATTTTGCGTACTGCACTCCCAAAGCTGACCGTTGGTTGACCCGTGCGGAACTCCAAGCAACAACTTCGGATGTTCTCGCACGCTACGAACGCAAGATGTAGGGCAAGCCGGTACCTTCGGCTCCACGTCCCACCCACGTCCAGGTTCCACCTTCAGATCGCCAGCTTCGCCCTCGACCTGACTTGACTTCATAACGAGGGGGGGTGTTACATGTTGCGCCTGCAACATGCTGCACGGGCCAGTTTCAGGCCCGTGACGTATTCAAGCCGAAAGCCTGAAAAGAAGGGCATACATGCCCCGTGTCGTTTCAGCCTGAAAACTTGAAAACAAGGGTCTACCAGCCCTATGTCGTTTCAGCCTAAATCAGGGTCTTTCCGACCCCGAGTCTTTTCCGCTTGAAACTGAGGGCCATTTTCAGGCCCTCATGAGTTCAACCTGCCCTAAAACTCAGGCACCAAACCAGGGTTTTAGCACAGGCCATTCTGGGCCTGTTTTCAAGACAACCCTTGGTTGAGCTTCAATGCCAGGGTCTGGCACGTTTTGGCATTGGCAAGAGCAGCCTCTTGGACGGGCCAGCACTATATAGGACAAGCCCGCCCTGCAGGCTAAAGGCAGTTGCTAGGTAGTTCCTAGGGAGTTCCCAGGCACTTCACATGCAGTTGAAGAGGCAGGAGGTAGTCTTCGGGATTCGGCAGCGGCACGCTCGAGGAGGGTTGCAGGAGTAGTAGTAGCGCTAGCAGTAGTCTTCAGTGCTGGGCGCTAGTAGCGTTAGCAGTAGTCTTCAACATTGGGCGCTAGTAGGAGCTAGAGTAGTACTGGAGAGAGAGAGAGATTGTGTGGAGGCCATGGAGACTTACTTGCAGCGCCATAGCTCCAACTCTGTCTTCGAGATACCTGTAGCACAACGCCAACTTCACAGGTTAGTACCTGGCACATGGGAGAGAGAGTTCTTATTCTTCCTCTTCTCAGTCCACCGTATCCCTCTCACCCTCTGGCT